CGGAATATTCAGGTTCAAGTCTCCTTGTTTGAGTTTCCCAGGGCAGTTAGAGACTGGGAGCACTAAAGGGCAGTCTGCTGGACTCCTGGCTCAAAGGAATATCGCGAAGCACCAAACAGCAACCTTTCCCTTTGATTGTGAAAGGAGCCCACTTCTCCTTGTCTGGAATGATCATGGCTGTGACCCAAGTCCTCAAATACAGATGAGCTTATCTATAAATTTCTAATGAACCCATCACTGTAGTATCTAGTATATGAAATTAAAGAAAGAATGGTTCAGTCCTAAAGACCATACACTCCCATCACTTCGTGCTGCTTTCTTATTCAGGATTACATATGGTTATAAGGTTGTTTAAAAGGAGGAGGGAGAAAAATTGTTCTTGTTAACCTCTGAGAATAGGACAAGAAGCAATGGGCTTAAATTGCAGCAAGGGAGGTTTAGGTTGGACATTAGGAAAAACTTCCCAACTGTCTGGGTGGTTAAGAACTGGAATAAATTGCCTAGGGTGGTTGTGGAATCTCCATCATTGGAGGTTTTTAAGAGCAGGTTAGACAAACACCTGTCACGGATGGTCTAGAAGATAATACTTAGTCCTGTCTTGAGTGCAGGGGACTGGACTAGAAGATCTCGAGGTCCCTTACGGTCCTACATTTATATCATTCTCTGATTATTCCTGTTGTTTGTTTTTATATCCAGAGGAAAAGCTGACAGGCAATTCTGCTGTTACAGAAATGCCAAAAAGGATGACATTTCACAATCACATAAGAGGAGCAAAGGCTTTGCCTTCCTCAGATGAGGGCCTTCCACTGGGAATGCTCAGCCCTTGAAAATTTCACCTTAGTGACCATTACCTGTAACTTTTCCATTGATCACTGCTCTCAGGATGAGGTTGTGAAGGATTAGCAGTAGGGTCTCTGAGTGAGCCTCTGAGGGCTTTGAAGATTCTCACCAATGGAACAAGGAGGCACAGTATAGCAATAGAGTGACCTATTTTACGTAGAAGGTGAGTCAGTGCGTGTTGAAGGGGATATAGAGGAAACTCCTGGGGGAAAGTCTAATCGCTGATTAGTTCTGGGAATGAGTAGTAGGAAGGAAATGGTAAACCAATGTGGACTGGGGATGACATTTATAATGAAAAGAAGTATTGTCACTACACAGCAAAGACCATCTATTCTTCAGCTTTATTAATCATTTACACTGATTTAGCGTTAATTTTAAGATCCTGTAATTCATTTTAATAGGAAAAATGTTCCTATAGGAACATTAGGAATTAATGTGTTGCCTTGTAGATTCCAGTTTAAAAATCACATTGCAAAATGTTTAAGTTCATATCACTAGATCAACTGCTGCTCTTAAAGAGACTTCATTTTAATTTGGAGCAGAATTTGTTTTGTAAAATAAGCTTTTAAAACCTAAAACCAATCGAAACATTTGCAGTTATTGTTAATAAAATCTGCTGTTAAGCAAACACATTTCTCAACAGTGTTTCAAACCCAAGCTACGCAACAATAAGAATTTGAAAGTAAAACTAGCAACAAACAAAAGTGAAACTAGCATAATTGATTTCGCATTGTACATGCTAAGAGTAGTATAGGAAGTAAGTAAAGAGTGTAAATAGTAGTAAATGAATTTTACTTTTTCAGTTATTTCATTCTTAATATAACAGTGTTACTAATAAAATAGGTAAAGAAATTTGCTTACAGTATATGGTTTTAAGATGTCACTGTCCCTTTAATCCAGTGATTGTGTGTTTCTAAGTCACTCTTTTGAACATCTGTAATTGTAAAGCATTTTGAGGTTGGTAAAGTTAGAAGAAGCTGGCAGCCACTGAAAGCTGTCTGTAGCTTTAGGAACACAACACTGAATAGACTTACATTCACTTCCTATTTGAATATAACCACTAGGACTAGAAGCAATTTCATATTTAAGAAAAAGCTTAAATTCTTCATAAATATGTGTCTTGGGACTTTCCCCCTGCACTCACGAGGAAAAACTCACTCTCCACTTGCCACAGAGTAGTAAGTGAGGTGTTGTTTGTTTGTTTTTTGTTTTTTTTGTCCTCTTCCCCCCTCCCCCCAACCGGTTTATAGTGCTGGGGTGGCCAAACTTACTGACTGACCCTCTGAGCCACATGCAACAATCTTCTGAATTTTGAGAGCTGGGACACACCTGATGAGGCTTCAGCCCCACGGGAAGTACCTGCCAGGACTTTGGGCTTCAGCCCTGCTCCTGCTGAAGCCCCAAGCCCCGAGAGGCATGCCCTGCGGGGCTGAAGCCCTGAGACCTCCCTCCCTGCTCAGCAGAAGCCCCTACTCCATCACCCAGATGCAAGGCAGCGGTCCCGAGCTTCTCCCACTCCCCCGGTCTGGTAGGTGGATGAGGGGATGTAGGGGGCTCCACGAGCTGCACTTTAACTGTAAAAGAGCCCGGTTTGGCCACCCCTGTTATAATGTTTACACTCTTCATAATATAACAAGATTTTATGATCCAAATTGTATACAAAGCACACACAAAAAAAGCATGGAAAATAGTTTGTTTGCTATGTGTATATTATAATTGCCACCTGAGAGCCAAATTTTGGCCTCAGACATATATGCATGGGTGTGACTGATTTCAGTGGAAGGGGTGGGTGGGTGTGTGTATAATATAATATGAGGAAAGCAGTTGACTGTGAAACTTTAAACAGAACAATTGTATCTTTCGTCAACTTATACATTAGCGTACCTTTCAAAAGAGACCGATTTAGGGAAGGGAATAGCATTATGCAAGCCTAGCTTTTAGTGCAGTATGAAAATATTTTGAAGTTAACTGTTTTGCGCATAGGTTACAGCCCTAAAAAAATTGCTTTGCGTTAGTGGAAGCAGTATGCTCTAACTGCCTGTGTAGTGATGCTACAGTTAAGAATCCCTCAGTGTTTCCATTACAAATTTGAAGGGAGAGTTTAATTTCTTTCCGATTTTGAATCATGCCTGGACAAAACTTTGGGTCAAGGCTTGAGCTCAAAATGTAAATCTTTCAAAAGAAATTTGATATTTTATGAAAAGTTTTCTACAGTGACTGCTTTTGAATTATAAAATTGCAAAAAAAATGCTCTAGGGGACAGATTTTTTTCATATTTAAAATAATTCTTTGAGATTTAAATTTGATGTTTTTTAGCAGTTGAGCATGCATGAGAGCTCCTTTACATAACATTTCAGTTGGGTATCGATGTTGTCCAAAATTCATATTTCTGCATTTCAAACCTAATTTTATGGTGTTAAACTGGATGTTGCAACTACATTTTATTGTTATTGTATAATAAACCTTTTTAATATACTGAATTAAAAGAGATTACAGTACCCTCCCAAGAAAACACAAAAGAGAGAAATACAATTATGATTAGCTACAAAGGTATGCTTATATCTGATATTTTTCTCTGCTTACAACAGCATGCCTCGATTTCCCCCCCCCCCATGACTCCTGAATAGTTTCACTCTTCTCGTGTCCTAAGTGTCAACCTCCAAATCTATATTAGAATTCACTTTTTTTGACCTTGTCTTTCATCCTAATCTCTTGTGACTCTTTACTCCTACCTTCCCAAGCTGTGTAGCGCTGAAGTTTTTCAGGAAAGGGGCTCTGCCCTGTGGACACACTCTACCAGGGTAAACCTTGCAATTTATGGAATTTACATACGTAACCGTAGCTCTGCCCCATGTCTATGCATATGCATTAAAATGCTCTTTAATTACAACATCACATACTTTTTTGTAAGGGAATTCCTTTCTGGTTATAGTGTGTCATATTGTGCTGTGGTTAAGGCACAGGATTAGGATTCGGGAGTTCTGAAATCAGTTCCCAGCTCAGCCACATACTTTCTGTAGGACTGTAGGCAGGTCACTTAGGGCCAGATTATTAAAAAGTATTTAGGTGCCTAAAGATGCTGAGAGGTGCCTAGTGGTATTTCACCATGCCTTGGTTCCTAACTCCCACTGAAACTTTAATAATTTGGATTTATATGAGCCCTTTATCTGAGATTCTCAAAGTATTTCAAAAACACTGAAATCAGTAGGAATTAGTCACATAGGCACTCCTGAAAATTCCACTGGGTACCTAGGTGCTTAGATACATTTAAAAATCTGGCCTGTAACCTTTGTTCTCTGTCTGTAAAATAGTGACATAATAAAAATACTTCCCTACTATGCAGGGGAGTTGAGGATAGATCAATCTGTGTAAGGTACGCAGAGGCAAGAGTGATAAAGGAGGATTTTTTGCTATGAAATTTAATATTTACCTTCTATAGTTCTGCTGTCATTAGAAGTACAAATTTACTCTAGTTGTGAGCTCACTGTAAATAAGTATGTGAAAGTTTGTAAGATGTCACAATACCCTATAATAAATGTTGATGGGAAAAGGAGAAAGAAACACTGGATTAACCGAACAAAAAGGGCCCACTGATATGATCAAGCACAATGTTAAAATCATGCTTCGGAATAATGGAAAATGTGAAACCAGGAATTAATGGACCAAAATTGATGTATCAGATATTAGGCTTAACTGGTGGACAAAATAATGAGGGAGAAGGGTTATTTCACTCGCCACTCTCTTTTTGGCATCTTTAAAGAAAGAGACTTTGGGGGAAAATAAGAGATCATATGGAGTCTACTGGCGTGAGATTCACCATCATGGCTGCCACCCCTCCCCCCCATCTCCTAGGAGCCCAGACCATTTTCATCCTAATCCTGGGAGGTGTCCTGATCAGAACAGCCCAGAACGAGGGATCCAGAAGACATGCAGAGGGTATATGTAATTTGAATCAGTGTCCTGCATTTAGAGTGTTTTGAGATTATTATTCGGTGTATTAGAGTATGCCTAATGATCCCATGCCAAATATGGTGAAAACAGGTGTATTTAGAATACGAGTAACTGCACAGAGTTAACATGTTCAGAGTGGCAAATGTGCTGTTCATTCTGCAATTAGTCTGTATTTCATTCTGACAATTCGCTCTGTCTTTATTTTGCAGCCGTCCATTGTACCATCCCACCCAATGGCTCCTCCTAGCCCCAGCACCACCAGCAGTAATAACAACAGCAGTAGCAGCAGCAACTCAGGTTGGGATCAATTAAGTAAAACAAACCTTTACATAAGAGGACTGCCTCCAAACACCACTGACCAGGACCTGGTAAAACTATGCCAACCGTAAGTACTACTCTTAAAATTCAGTCTTTTAAAACTTACAGGACATTTGTGATGTGAGTGCTAATGTTATGAGGCGAGAAGAAATCTAGCCCCATGTTTAGTATTCTTGATTCTGCGATGAGATGCAAAATGTCAGCTTTTGAAATCAGTAGGAGCTGAGCGTGTGTGGCACCTTCAGAAGCAGAGAACAGACTAAATATATAGTAAAGAAGTGTATCCCAGGTTCCTGATTTAAAAACCATGGACACCCATACTCCTGACTGCTGGTTTATCTGCTGTAATCACAAAAGATTAAAAACATTTGAAAATTATCAAACAATTGTGTAGCTTGTTTTTAAAAGCATATGTTTAAGATCTCTGTTAGCAACTGATGTAGCTGCACCATGACAAACCTCTAGTGTAATAAAGCTGCACCAGTGTAAACTTGCACTGGGGCAGCTTTCACCAATTTCAAACTAGGATTTACACTAGTGCTGTACGATTGCACTAGGGGTTTGCTATAGTGCAGCTACATCAGGGCTAAAAAACGCTGTGTAGACATAACCTAAAGAATCTTTTTTCAGACAACACTGTTTAGCAAAGTTCGTATCAACGGGCTGTTGTATAAATCCATGCATTTGGGGCATTTCTGAATATGGGGTGGGTATGTAATTATATTATTTACACTATTTTTTTTAAATCACTTTCTTCTCTGGAACATATAATTCTTGACTGCTACATTGACTTGCTAAAAAATGAAAAAATTTCAAGATTCACAACAGACTTGCCAGACTATTATTGAAACAAAATATTATACCTGTAAAATTCACTGATGGAAAGTGGAAACTGAAACTTACAGGCTATCTGGTAAACAAGGAAAGCCCCTAATTTTTCATTCCTGCAAAAGTACACTTCAATAGTTTAGTTTTATAAGGAACCTCTTTGAGATTCTCAAACACTGATTAAACCTCAAATAACCTTATTAATTACACAAGCTTTTGTCCCCCATTTAACAGATTAGTAAATGAGGATATGTCAAAAGACTTGTCCCTGGTCACACCACTAGTCAGCAACACAGCCAAGAAAAGAACCCTAAGTCCTGGCCCCCAGTTTATTTGAACCATTAGATGACATTCTGGAAAAATAGATGCTGGACTGTTGATTTGTACTTTAGCAAAACTTTTTTGCCGTTCTGTCCGTGATTTCATAAATTCATGTAAATTAAATCTGGAGGGGTCATATTTAGGTTTGATAGAATTTGATTTATAATTTCAATGGATAATATCTATGTTTTTAAGCATTTTTTCTATTTTAAATTTTCACAGTTGCTGTGAAATTATGGGCGGAGATATCAGCCAATAATTAATGACAGTAGGCATTCAGATTCAAAAGGTTGAAGCTTTATAAACATTAAAACACAAATTGTCAACATCACGTTACAATATGCAAAGTAAATATCCTTAAATCAGACTCTAAGTTCTCAAGCAACATTTTTCTGACTTTGTCTATAAATTTCAGTTGTTATCGATTTGAAAAAATTGTGTGCGTATGTGGTGGAATCAACGTTTACTGACACTTACAGATAAAAATAAATCTTTCCAGCCTAATCACTCATATTAGTTGATCTTGTCAATTCGTCTGGCAAAGCAGGATTGTTCTGTATTATATCTTTGAATGTTGTCCTCTGTATTTCATTATCCCAGTGATGGAGCTTTCACCACTTTCTCTAAACTGTATTCCAAAGTCTAAATGATCTCACAGTTTCCAGATTTTCAAATTATGTTCAGAAGGTGCAATTAAATACATACATGACATTTGTTCACTTTTTTTATTTTTAGAGTACTTGCTCTCCTACATGCAAGTAGAGCCTCTCTTTTAAGGAGGGCTGGGTTTCCCCCCTTCTTGCTCCCTCTTATAAAAACAGGATTCTTTGATCAATTTTGGTGCCCATATAACTGTCAATAATCTTACTGAAGTTTTTTACCTTTTTTCCTTAAAAGTAGAGTGAGTAGTGCAGGTCAGTTGATGAAGCTTTGTTTTATACTAATTAGATTGACGTATGTTATGCCAGTATTCTTGTCATTTTCACTGATGAAAATGAGTCCAGAATTAGTTATTCCAGAGACTACCAATTCATAGCTGCCTTTATGGCTCGCTCTCAGAAGTTCTTCACACCTCCCTGACTACATGCCTGCTTCAAGGACACCACTTGTCCTCTTCCCAAATAGTGGCTGCACAATGCTGGTATATTTCCATGATCTCCACCCTCTTCAAATAGCTCATCAGCTTCCTGTTGGGAAGGTATAGTCATCTGGATAGATCTAAATACTTACAACTCCTATCAAAGTGCTCAGCACTTCTAAAAAATCAGGCCCAAAGATATTGAGTACCCAAAAATTGCAGCATCTAAAATAAGTGGCTGTTTTTGAAAATTTTGGCATCACTGTAAACATCAGGCTCAAAGGTCCTCTCTTCTTACTGTTCTTTCTCTTTCTTTTCTGCCACATCCATATCCCTCCTAACTTTGTTTACCTGCTCAGCAATAGTTCCTGCCAGCCACTACCAAATATTACTACCAGTTGTCTAGCTACTTCCAGCAGTGTTTTTGTTGCATCTTTGTCCCATTTCTCATAATTTTGTTCTCCTTATTTTCTTAAACAGGCAGCGTCCATTATTCCTGTAGTCTTTATATCCAGTTCAGATCAAATTATATGCAAGGATAGCATAATTAAAAATCATGGGCTACCAATGCAAAAAGTGGTAGGGATGGGGGAGAGGGGTAAGGGACAAAAAACAAGAATATCAAAATCTAAAACTGTATAATAGCTCTTTCTTGCATGACATAATATGGTCAGAAGAACTTTAGACTTTTAGATTTTCAAAATAATTTTTTATTAAGGACTGGTTTGTTTGAAAGACATTATTATAACAGTTCCAAATCTTCATGGCTGAATATTGTATCTGTAGAGAGAGAAAAAATATTACGCCTAATTTAGAAAAAATGAAATTTTTATTGAGAGAAAATTACCAACTTCTGGTTTGAGAAATTTTACGTTTATTGCAAAAATAAAACTTCTTGCTTTCAGGATAATACTCACTGTTTCAATAGTCTTGTGATTATAATGAAAGAGCTGGACCACCTAACAGAAAAAAATTAGACTTATTATAGTGTATGTCCTGAAAGAATAAACTGGCTCCATTTGGACATATTCCAAACAGAAAAAGATTCTCATAAATCTTACTAAAAATGGAGCAGATAATTAATTTTGTGAAAGGAGCCATTCATAAATTATGAAATTACTACAGCCTTGCACATGAAGATGACTTCTCTGAGATTTAACTCATTCTAGATACATGTGTGGTAGAAGAGTCCCCCCCCCCCCTTTTCTTTTTTTTTTAATTTTGTTTTTTAAAAACAATACAGAAGCACCTTCAGGATCCTCCAAGTTGAGATTGAAGGGGTTGTTGCTTCTCTTCAGTAGCTGACTGGTATCAGGAAGCACTCATAACTTTGAACATTTTGTCATCTTGAGCAGACTTCTCTTATCTCTCTCGGAGCTTCCCCAGTTTGTGTGTGTGTGTGTGTGTGTGTTGCAATCATAGAAAAAAATTGTGATCTTTTTCTGGTTTTGTTGTTTGCCTCTTGAATTGGGCAAAGGTTCTGAATGATTTGCTCAATCTGTAGTTCATTATAGAATGATCTTTGGCTATGTCTTCGCTTCAGAGCCTATTCTGGGATAACTATTCTGTACCTAGCTGCAGTTCATGAGCTGCTGGCTCTTGCCTTTTTTGTTTGCAAGACAAATGGTTCCTGAATGTGAGCTTGAGACCTCTGAGGATAGATGAAGCTTCTGAGACTTTGGTTTCTATGAGTAATTTCTCTGGTAAGAGATTCCTATGTTAGAAGAGGGGAATGTCCTATCTCAAAAGTCTCCATTTCTGCTGAGGAACCAAGTGAGATGTCCAGAAGATTTTAAAATCCAAGACTTGGAACATTTGATCAAAAATCTGGGTAGTTTATTAAAAACGGTGGGCTTCTCTGCCAACATAGCCCTTTAGCAGCTGGAGTTGATGTCAGTTCTATCATCTGGAAACAAGACTCTCCTGATTCAGAGGCTTAGTATTAGAGGCTCACTTTTATGAATTATGGAAAGTTCCAGATGCCAAATTCTCACTTTCTGCAATTCTGTCTAAACTGTTCAGCCTTCCAGGAAGTAGTTAGGAGACATGGTATTTAGTTTCCAAACTGGGTTTTGCAATATCCAGCTGTTCCACTGGGGCTTCCTTGCCACTTACTGATCTTATAACTGCTAAAAACTTCTTAAACAACCTTTAACATGCACTTGGTAAATGAGAAATCAAGAGAAATTCTGTTTTTGTCTTGTCTAACTCAGTTTATATTAATCCAACATTAATTACTCACACTTTATGTAAATTTTTTTACTAAACAGATATTGCCAGGCTGCTTTCAGGAAAAATGGTGTTTTCATTTATTTATTTATTATAGAACATAAAATTAGTAAAAATGTGGTATGTTTGATTTGATTAACTGAAAACAGGTTTTTATGTGTATTCAGACCTTTCCTTGAAGTGTTTACAACAAAACACTGCATCATTGTGCTGTCACATAAAAGCCACAAAGTGAAACTGATTGTCTGTTTTCTTTGCTCTGACTGAGTCAAATACAAAATTAAACCAGGGGTGAAGTCCTTGACCCATTAAAGTCAGTTGCAAAGCTGCCATTGATGCTAAAGGAATCAGGATCTTACCTTAGATCCTTAAATGTTGGTTGTTCTTATAATTCAAGATGTTATTAGAAACACCTGTAATAATTTGAACTCGACAATGTCCCTTTATAGGATGGAATTCACTCTCTTACAAGAAGGCCTACACAAAGTCCCCTGAGCTGTCAAACTCCAGGGATAGTCTTGAGCAAGGTGTGTGAGTGCAGAGTCCACAGTATACCTGCATGTTGCAGAAGTGGTTTCCTCTCCGGCTCACAATAAGCAGCTGTTAATAGG